CGCTCCTTGAATAAGACGTGCTTTTCCTCCCTAACCGGAAATATCCAATTTTGTGAATTATTCGTTTGGGAAACCTGATCTTCCTACCCGGCGAATTTTATTCAGCCATTTCTTCTTCACCGAGCCTGTGTGTGTTACTTCCCGCTGTCTCGAACTACTGGTACAAATGCGCGTAAACCGGGGATACCAAAATCCTCACTGGTTAAACCTGTAACTCTTGACATAACCGCTCCAGACACAGAGGCTGGAGAACCACGGGTCTCCATCGTTGGAAAAAGAGCCCTCTCGTCTGCCAGTAATATTGGCCACAGCACTGAGACCCAAAAAAATACCCAGTCGAACCAGACGAACCAAAACGGTCTTAAAGGAAATCACAAATGTGCGAGGACCGAGCCCAAGCCCACGGTTAGTAGATCAAATTGTGTAATCCTCTTTAACGTACCAGACTGTAGCAGTAGTGTGCTGAAAGATAGGGCCCTATTTGATCAGGATCAGTGGTCCATCTTGTGCAGCACACTGGGTTTGGACATCCAACCGGTAAATCTATGCAGATTGTACAAGGGCACTGCTGCACCTGAAGGCAAACCATCCCCACTCAGGGTAACATTGGGCTCTACTGAGGATGTTGAAAAAGTGTTACTAGCCTCTCAAGTCCTTTCTATAGGGAGGGCCTGTAACATACGCGTTAAGCCAGACAGGCCGTGGAAGGAAAGACAATTGGCGAGGGAGTCGCCAGAGCTCATTCCTTCTGCCTCCATGGTTGCGCATGGCATTCCCGAACTGGTAACTGGGAACGCCTGCGAAAAGCATTGTCATGATGTACAACAATGGAGATGGCTGGCATCCCAGATGGCCCTGGAAAGTTCAGGGGCTGTCTCTATTTATAGACTGCCTCGACCCACTCATCTTATGTCAATTAACTCGCCACGTCTGTTAGCTGTCAAGTTCAGCTCGCAAGACCAGTTGACTACCGCTCTCCAAAGATGGTAAGAGACCAAGGACAAGGTCAGCAAACACATTCGCTGCTGCGAGAGCCGGCCTCGCACTCAAAGGAGAGAACAAAACGTAGTTAAAAAAATCCTCAACCCCTAGTCACACTACAGCGGTGCAGCATGGACGACGATAGCCAGTGTCATCCGAGTGCTCCGACTGAACTAGAAGAAAAAACGCCAGCAGGCCGGTTCCCGGGAAATCGGCCAATTAGTTCGTAGGATAACCCCTCAACCGATAGCCAATATCAAGTGTCAATGGAGTTGAAGATTGAACGATCAATTCTTGGTTGTTTGCTTAAAATCAACTTCCCCAATTTTCGCGGAGGCATCAATACGACAGTCATCGTCTCATCGGTCGCTGTTCAGAAAGAAGAGTGAAACATCGTCAGAAGTAATACAATGATTTATTATTGTAATATTTGTTCACAGCTTAGTTCACTTATTCTTTTTATATGTTGGTGTAACAATAAAGAAATATCAAGCGGCAGATCGGTGTTTTGGTTTTTTCGTCCGTTATAACTAAGCGTTTCTGAAATTTTCAAGGAACAGCGAGGTAGCGAGAGCTGGGCATTAACGGTTTATGAGACGTGATTGACATCAAGTCAACTACCCCCCAATACGGGGAAGTGGTGAGACTGACTATCAGTTGCCTGTACAGTAATGTGAGAGGGCTAAGAGGCAAAATAGCTGAACTTAGACACCTACAATCACAACTGAACTCCAAAATCATCATACTGACGGAAACCTGGCTAACCCCTACGGTGGCAGACAGCGAAGTCAGTATAAATGATATGGTCCTAGTCAGGCGAGATAGGGACCTGAAAGAAGGAGGTGGAGTCGCCATATACGTCGACAAACAGCTCAGATGTGTTCACGCGATGGACCCTCCCCTCACAGAGCTCCCTGACTCCATATGGTGCCACTTCACCGTTGGGTACTGCAAATATCTAGTGGGCAGCATTTATCGATCACCTTCATGTGGAGCAGACCACAACCAGGTACTGCTAAATACAATCTCAGCAACTCAAGACATGGGTTATGATCAAATTGTCATAGCTGGTGACTTCAATGCCCCATCTCTTAACTTGGTGTCGGGAAAAGCCCATGATAGATTTGATCGAAATCTGCTGCATACCATCAGGAAGGCTGGATTCACTGAAAATGTCAAGATGGATACTAGATGGGGCCCTGATGGGAAGTCTTCTAGACTGGATTACGTGCTCACTAGTGACCAGCTACTAGTGGAAAACGTTCAGATCACGACTCCCATAGGTAGTAGTGACCACGCGGTCATAGTATTCGACATAGTCCTCCGCGAGCGCTTACAGTGGGACAATACACAGCCCTATCTGTGTTATAACAAAGCCAACTACACCAAAATGCGAAGACTTCTGTCTGAAGCAAACTGGCCTAAAAAATGGACAGAGCTAACAGTTGAAGAACACTGGAGAGTGGTAAAGGAGATCATTCACCAGGCGGTCTCAGACACTGTTCCTTTAGTCACACCAAAAGCTAGGAAGCAACGATCATGGCTAACAAGGGGACACAACGCCTTCTGCAGGCGAAGCGAAAAGCCTGGTTTGCGTGGCGACGATCGAAGAGTCAACCCGAACATGAAGTGTACCTTGAACTCAGGAATCGATGTAACATACGAGTCCGGAGCGATAGAAGGACATTTCAGGGAGACCTCGCCAATAAGCTTCTCGTGAACCCCAAAAGCCTATACAGGTTTATGTCCGAAAGAAAACCGACCAACCAGGGAGCATGCAATCTAGTGGGTTCTGATGGGAAATCTCTTACTAGTCTTGAAATGGCAGAGACATTCAGCCTAGCCTTTCACAGGCAACTAAACAGTAACGAGGATATTACCCCACAGAACATCCAGATTACATCGCAAAACCAACACGCGAAAACCTGCTGGGTACATTTCAAATTACCCCGGCTATGGTACTTGCAAAATTGGGAAGGTTGGCTTCGGGAAAGTCCTCAGGTTGTGATGACATCAGACCATCTGTCCTGAAGCAGTGTTCAGAAAGTCTCTGCCAACCCCTAAGTGATCTGTTCCAACACTCCCTTGATGTAGGGAAACTTCCATGTGAATGGAAACGAGCAATCCTATCCCCTATCTTCAAGGGTGGTGACCGGCAGAATGCGACCAGTTACAGACCAGTTGCTCTACTTCCAGTGATATCGAAGATATTGGAAAGTATCATTGACGACCATATGAGAAAATACTTCGATGGGACTAACCTTCTTCACGAAGCACAGCACGGTTTTAGGAGGGGAAGATCCTGCGTGACGAATCTTCTACTAGCTTGGAACGATTGGACACTATCCTGGGACAAAAAGGTACCAGCCCACGTGATCTTTCTCGACTTTGCGAAAGCATTCGACACAGTTCACCATGGTCTGCTCCTTCACAAAATAAGCAAGGCGGGAGTTTCTGGAGCACTTCTCGCATGGCTGACAGATTACTTAGGCGAGAGAGAATTCTGCACCAAAGTCAACCGCATCCGATCATCCTGGCACACCTCGGCATCAGGGGTTCCTCAGGGTTCTATCCTAGGGCCGTTGATGTTTTTGATTTTTATCAACGACCTGCCCTCCCAACTAAACTGCTCTGCGCTTCTTTACGCTGACGACGTAAAGATTTGGAGAGCAATAAACTCATCGGAAGACTCAGACAGATTGCAGGCTGACCTGCAAACTCTGGGAAACTGGGCTCTGGCTAACGGAATGCCTTTCAACCTAAAGAAGTGCAAAGTAGTGCAACTTCATTCCGGCAGGTCACAGAGTGTAAATTACACCCTTGGTGGCCAGAACTTGAGTTGTGTTCAATCAGAGCGAGACCTAGGTCTTATTCTAACAGAAAAGCTAGACACCAGTAGAAATTACTCGAGGGACGTCGCCAAAGCCTACGCAACTTACACTTTATGCATAGGCAGCTGGGAGCTCTCACTCCGGAACTGTTCTTAAGGTTATATAAGGCATATGTGAGGCCACACCTTGAGGTGCATAATATCATTGCACCTCCGCTACTCAAAAGGGATGCTAACATTCTAGAAAGTGTCCAGAGACGAGCGACAAAATGGGTGATCGGCCTCCGCAACAAATCATATGAGGAAAGACTAAAGAAATTAGGTCTTTTCACACTTAGTTACCGAAGGCACAGGGGAGACCTCATCACCGTCTACCAAATCCTAAATGACCAGGCCCACCCAAATAAAAGCATCCTGCCATTAAGTGATTATAGGCTTCCACGAGGTAACCCGCTAAGGATAGCACACCAGAGACCAAAGACTCGAGTGCGATCACATTTCTTTTCGCTTCGTGTTTGCCGTCTCTGGAACGCTTTACCGGCGGCCGTGACTACAGCGCCATCTCTGGAGATTTTTAAGCGGAAGCTAGACAATCATGCAGAAATGCAAGGTTTGTGTCTCAATGGCTTATCCCCATAAAACTTGAAACCACACTGTCAATGATAAGCGTACAAACTAAATCCCCGCGACCTATTCTGCCTTCTCTCACTCTATCTTTTCCTTAGGTCACCTTTATTATTCCACTTATCTCAACCTATATTATCTACACTACAACCCATTATTTTTATTCTTATTATTACTACTATTCTGCTTTTATGACTACACCGAATGACCAACGGGAGTTAGGTCAAACTCCATTCACGGCAGCAATACAGTCCTAACATACTGCATACTACAAACCACATCTCGACCAATCCCCGCACCACTCCTCCTGGAGTCTACCAGAGCTAAAGCAGTCGAGTGGCGGGACTTACTACGCAGAAGCTCACCGAAGATCTGGAACCTCTACCTCACAATCAAGAAGCGAGCTCAAAGAAATCACTGGTTTATACTAGCTCGTAATCAGGATATTGGATATTGGATTAGATATTGGATATTGAGCGGGATTGAATATTGGATCCGTCCTACAGTTTGATCACATCATTTTACTGTGTTCTCATGTCGTTAGAGTCTACACAGAATTAAACAGATGCCGCCTAAAAGGGTTAAGGCTGAAAAGACAAATAATAAATCCAAGAAGATTGATAAACTTACTCCAAAAGAGGCCATTCTTGATTACCAGATTAGCAATCTTCGCGATCTGATATCTAGGCTTCATTTTAAACGAGAATTACTTAGAAATATTCTGACTGACAAATTGGACGACCTAAGTAGACTTAAATTGAAAGGCGAAATTTTGTTCAAAGAAACATCTTTAAAGCTGATAGAGTTTTCAAATGCAGAGAAACCAAAAGTGTCGAGTGATGATACAAAATTATATCTGCTTGAAACCTGGAAGATACGAGATGATGAAGAAAAAGAAACCAAATCTGTTGAAAACGAAATAGAACTTACAAAACACCTCACAAAAGATGTAATAATGGAACTGAGAGAGTGGAAGACTTATTCCGATGAAACCAGAAAATTAAATGATATGCGTATCCAAGCGCTTGAAAAAGAGTACATCAACATGAAAGACCGTTTTCAGTCCATGGTTAAACATCTAGCTAACACAGAAAATCAGAGGGAACAGTATGTTCGGGTGAAAATCGAAGGCTTTTCAGAGAATATCAGGAATTCAACAGTGGAAAATTTAGTCAACAAGTTAAATAAAACATTCTCTCAACAAATGCTCCAGAACAAGTGGCTAGTAATAGAGAATAAATCACTTGCAGAGAAAATAGAACAAATTTCCAGTGAAATTGATATTCTTCAGAAAAAAAACTTGGAGGCTGTCGGAGAAGTTTTCAACAATAACTTGCCTCACATAATGATGCCTTTGTCCTTTAGTGACAATCAGGTGACCGAAATGGATAACCTCCACACTAGTGACACTTTTGACCTAGGGATATGCCACAGGATGTTTGAATTCAAAAGTAACCAGGGTAACTCAAAATGACATGGAATCACTTTTCACTTTTAGAATTTACGTGTTCGAAAAACAAACACAGTGTACATGGAGAGTGCACAAAGGAACATCCGAGTACCGTCGATCAGAAGAAGTCTCAGTCTACTATTACTCTGGAAAAACGACTTCAGTCTTCTTACTACACGAACGATGACGTTGCACAAGACCAAAAGTATAAGCCACAAGGTATTATAGGCCTCGGACCACTAGAGAAACAAGCCATATTTCTGAAAGGTTCTCCTTTGAAAATTGATCACTTCGAGGATTTCAGTTCTCCTGAGATGCAAGCACACTCAAAGTTCAACCCAGATCTTGAAAACTGGCCCATAAATAAGGATATGCTTCGAGATTTTCTCTCTAAAATCAGCTAAGATCTGGTTTTCAAGGCCTTAGAGTGAGTTTTGAATTTTTATGAGAAAACAGCTTCTTATCGTCATTTATTATTTGAAATATTATTGGTATTTTGTCATTTTTTGATAGGCTACAACTATTGTTTCTTCATTCTGGCAACCAGGCACTTTTGTACTTTTGTTTTGGCAAAAGTCTACATTTAAACATTATTTTAGAGAGCATAATTTTATTTCTATTCCTTCTATTTACCGGTTTTTAGTCGATTCGCGTTAAATTAGGGACAAAGCTGCATTAGAAAATAGTCATATTACACTCGTATTCGTAACGCACTTTTCCGAGCGATGAAAATTTTTGATCTTATTTGAAGTATCAAAAGATAGAAACCACCGCGTAACCACCGACTACGTCTTAATATTTTTTTTCAAATTCTTCCTTCATCATTTCTTTTAAACTGAAGCTTACTATGAAGTTTCGATCAATTTGTAAATGTTACTGTTTCAAAAGTCTAGTATAGAAAAGAAAATGCGTTTTATGTTATTTTCCTGCCTTAAAATATTTTAAATCCACCTGGTGTTTTCGTTTCTGGAATCATTCAAAAACAATCTCCTACACTGTCAGCCGCTAAACTTAAGTATGTTTCGCCCTTATCTATACTTCCACTAAAGCCACATTACACATCCTTCCTATACGTCACGAAACTGATGAAATCGAATGACATTATTGTCAAGCTGTTTTCATTAAAATGGCCAAACAGCTCTGCTCAACGTTTTATGGGCCCGTACATCTCAAAAGCAGATTTCTATCTCACGAAGCTTTTCGAAATCAGTTTCTATGACTTTCCATAGGTTTTAACTTCCTCCTCATACGATGTTGTCCATGTCACCGTTGGATGCCGAACAAGCCACTTCTATTTAGGTTTCCAACCGAGGACTTGGGTTGTAATGCCGCTCAACGACCATTCAGTCCACCTTCATTTCCTTCAGCAGAGTTCCTTATGCCTTAATCTCCCCGGCCGATCATCTCATCTTCAGTATTGACTTGGATTGGGAGGTGTTGATGAAAATCCGTCGCAGCCCTCTGTAAATGCTCCTGGTGACGCATTTCCTAACTCCCTGAACCATATAGAAGCACTGACTAACTTGACATTAGCGTTCAACAGAGTATGAGTCTTTTTCTTTACACTGAGTTGAGCGCAGCAGATTTCTACACTGATTTCAGATGAATGAAGATCTGTCTTACTTTAATTGTCTCATTTTTGACGTCCTTATCCATTCTGCCTGTTTCTGGGAGGATGCTAGACAGCTAGGTGAGTGAAACAGGAAACTTACTTTCGATTTCTCCCGTTGAAAGGGATCAGTACTTATTGTTGTCGTTGTTGGTTGAGTGTCTACATCTTGTCTGTCTTCATTTTTCCACTTTTACTCCTGTGTTTACTGCTCTTTCTGCAAACCTGTTTGCTTCCATCTTCAGGTTTCCGAGTTTGTATGAAATTAAAGACAAATTGTCCACAAACTCAGATCTTCGAAAGTCTTCTTGTCAGTCTAACGTATGAATCCTTTCTAGATCCCGTGCTATGCTTCGTTCGATGATGATAATAATTTCTAGTGTTAAAATTTGGCTCTCATATGATTCTCCTTCTCTGAATCCAGCTCATTGTGGTCGAAATTCACCATACAGAGCATGTTTTAATGTCTCGTGAATGATCCAACTCAATATTTTGCATGCTGTGTACAGGAGGATGATTCTACGCCAGTTCCTACATAGGCTGAAGTCACCCTTTTCTAGAATTTTAAGAGGATGGAATTTCTCCGTATCGGTAGGTACCTTTCTTTGCTTTGTTGGAGGATCGATGTCCATTGGCAATTCTCTCAGCGCTTATAGTGTTCTTGGACAAGTTGCAGGTGGTGGTCGATTCAAGCGAAATTTGAAGTGAACAGTCCGTTGTTTCATCTCTTCCATCGCTTCGGTAATTGGGTTTATATTCATAACATTAACTGGTTTTGGCTGCGTTGAACCCTTTCTGGATAACCACCTGGCTACCTGATATAGCATTCTGAGGCCTGTTGTGTTTCACTGATCAGTGTGTCTTAAGACTGTCTTTTGCCCTTATTAGCACCCTCCTTCACCCTTTTTTCCATTGCTCTGTATGTTGTATTCAGCTTCTCCTCTCGTTATTTATCCTCTCACCTGTTCATATTCTGCTGTTACCATCTTTCTCTCCTTTATCAGGTTCCACATGTTAGTAGAGAGCCATTGCTTGTCTCGCCTATTTTTCCTCCCTAAGGCGACCAGATAATTAGTTGACTGACTATACAGGCTTCGTTCCTCAGGTCCTTAGAGAAATCTAGTATTCCCTGATTCTGGTTCCCTTGGTGCTATTGATTAATGTATCTGTGTCCTTCTTCTCTTGGTCTGCGATATTTGTAAGCGCGTAGCATTGGATGATGATTTTAATTCTCCTTCCTGGGGAGATTCGTTCCCACAGTACAAGAGATTTCGGTGCTGTTGGTGACATCATGATAGAGACACCGTAAGTATGATCACAGTTGTTGTCTTGGACAATGCGTAACCAGAATAGACTACTGATTTTTCAGTTAGCCATTTGAAAAGTCCACTTACATTCTATCTATTCCCACAGATTCGTAGCAATTTTGTAGCATATTTTCTCATTTCTTTTACAATCTGAGCATCCTTGTTAGCAGCTTCAAAATCGTACGGACATTCCATTTCCTCATGCATATACACATCGCCTTGCTGGCTGACTGGCTTCCGGAGGGATAACACGAGGCCAGGTGTTTTCATCTCCCCGAGTGTAGAGAAGAACAAGTTCATCCTGTATATCTTTTCTGTGCTCTGGAGTTTCTGTAACCCTTGGATTGATTCTCCGGTTTGGGGTGCCAGTCAAAAACCCAATCTTCCCTGTTATTCCAGGGATAAAACCGGCTAAAAAAACAGCATTGTTTTTGGACTACAAATCGGATGTTACATATTAGTAGTAAGGATAGTAAAACTGAAAACTATGTAAGACATGAGATTTCTTAGTAAAATATATGGTCGATGTGGTGAAATCTGTAGAAAATATTTTTGTTAGAATGGCGTCCCTTTAAAATGTAACCATAAGCATAGCATTTGGATATTGTTTATAGTTAAAGTGACTATATGGCTGTTTGTATCGAAGTTTTGACTTTTACGTGCGAGATGTGTCTGCTAGTGATGATGTGGTGTGGACACTTGGGAATCCATCGTATATATATATGTGTGTGTGTGTTGACGAAAGATGTGTGATGGAAAAGTTGTAGTGCATTTAAGAGATTTCTGTTAAGCTTGCAAGTATCTAGACGTGAAACAGTAAGAGTGTGGTTGTAAACGGCGTGAGCGGCGAAAGTGTGGTCGGCTTGTAAGTAGGTTTAGGATTCTATCGATGAAATTGTGTTTTCGCCAAGTAATGATAGGAGGGTCAATTGACCACAGTTGATCTGGAGAATCCTCTTCACACTCTGTGTGTGTGAGTGGGTAATTAATAGGTGTGACTGTGACGTCTCACGGTGCAGTGACACCACTTGAATGAACAACTAGTTATCAGAGAAACAACTCAAATGTATGGAGAATTGCATGTCGAATAACATGGATGGTGGTGATAGTAATAACAATAAGAACAGTAATAGTAATAACGGCAATGGAAATAATAGTAATAATAATAATGACATTGTCAATATCTATGAATCACACTAATACATACAGATACTAATGACAACAAGGGTGTATGTGACTGTCCTGACAAGGGATAGTTTCAAAGGAATGAAGAGTAGTGATGACGATGATGAGAAGGAGAGGAGATAGAATGTGAGTATTTTTCGGCACTGATCACATGAACGGTCAGTATGTAAGATATACCACCATGTTGGATTCAGAGTGACGACCGTTTTCGTTGTATACATGGAGACTGGCGATATAGCCGCTAATTCCACACGCCTCCACAGTTGAAAGCTTCTTTCTGGTTGTTTGTCTCCTAACACATAGTCAATTGGCCTCTGTATGTGTGGTCAGAGGGACATCCTTAGTCTTAGTCTCGAGACGTCATTCTACTGAACTACTCTGTCAACAGAAGCCGAGAATTCCATGTCCATATAACTTCAGTTTGCTTGTCTTCATAGTGCTGTCCCTTGAGTTACTCTAACTCTTTTGGTGTATTGTATGTGATTGTTATGTGTATGGCGTATCTCGTGGTGACAATGTTATGCGAAATACGCGTTTCAGTTAAATAATAGAATGAGAACGGTGTCAAACAAAATTGATTGACCAACACAAAATTACTAAATATTACAATGAAGGGAGAGAGAGAGTTGGTTTTAGGAAGTTTCCAGTAGGTGGGACTATGATAAGAGTGACGAAAGCGAGGACAAAGTGTAGTAGACTGCGATTGATCAGAATGAGGTCGAACATAACGTTTTCAATACACGACTTACGTTTCGGCTCGTGTATATCTAGAAGAACATCGAGGAATGAATTATTCACATGGATATCCGAGTCGTAACTTCACAGTAGAACGCGAGGAAAATGATACCATTAAATTGCTAGTTGTTTCTCTAGTGAAAAATATCAATGGTTCAGTAGAAGGACCTGCACTTACAAAGTCTTCTTTGATAGGACAGTATGCACATTTATAGACCTTGTTCTCATCCCGTATAAAAATAAGTTGGTCAGAGGATTGTTGGGTTGAACGAGTGGAATTTGTTCTGAGATTACAATCGAATGTGGAATAAATAGTTTGAAGGATATATCGTCCGAGACTGTATGTCGTGAGAGGTTTATCAGTAAACAGACTTCAGGAATAAGCCCCAGTACAACTACCTAAACAGATGGGAAGAAGGCTGTTTAGTTTATTTTGCAAGTAATCGAACGAAGGCGACTTTGATAAAGCCATCAGGAGAAATCATTATCCTACAAACCTCATCTACCTTGACATTACCATACGGGTGGTCATCGAGAGTCTACCACCGTGATATATCTTACCTATTAC